CTTATCAGTGATATGGGGGGAGTAGTAATGATTCCTTTGGGTGTTACAGCTAAGTTAAACTACTGGAATTCTTCCCTAATGAGGTGAGGGCTGAGTTTGGCCTGGTGAAACTGGATCATGGACAGAGAGAATTCCACAGACGTGCAGAAATCAATCCAGCAGGATTTACATGTGGCAGGTAGGATGATAACCATCGGGCCAGCAGATGGAGGAGGCTGTCACAGCCACAACCCAAGAGTAGGAGGACCTGAGCCACGGATGGCCTGAAACACGTGTGAAAAATATGAGAACCTCTACGAATATCACAGGTGGTTATATTTAAGGCTGCGGGACAGGAGCGCATATTTCACATATAATCGTATGGACTGTTGGAGAAAATAAATGCGTCATATAAATGACTACACAGGTGAATATTTGCTGAAATGCCAGCTGGAAAATATACAAGCTTGACAGACCGCAGGAACAATTTATGGTTTAAATGATTAACGCACTTTCTGCAAAAAAGGACAAAATGGTTGTTTTTTTAAAGTATATCTAAACCAAACAAAATATATTGCAGCTTACTGGTGCTTAGATGTGGTGGCTGCACTAGTTTTCTTTTTTCAGGCTTTTTTCCTCAACCACTTGCCCTCCAGAGGATTTACACCCCTTCCTGACATGGCCATTTTTTGTGAAACGGTGCTGCGTTATTTTAACTGACAATTGCGTGGTCATGCAATGCTGTACATAAATGACATTTCTGTCATTTTTGTGTCCCACAAACAGTGCTTTCTTTTGGTGGCATGTGATCACCTCTGTGGTTTTTATTTTTTTGCACTATTTACAAAAAAAGACTGACAATTTTGAAAAGAAACCCCAAACAATATTTTTGACTTTTTGCTATAAAACATATCCAATAAAAAAAATATAAAAATCAAATTTCATCAAAAATTTTGGCCAAAATGTATTCTGCTACATATCTTTGCGAACAAAGATCCCAATACGTGTAAATTAATTGTTTTTTTGCGAAAGTTATAGCGTCCATACTGGAATTTTAATTTTTTTTATACTAGTAATGGCAGCGATTAGCAATTTATAGCGGGACTGCGGCGGGCATTCTGACATTGGGCAGAACTGACTAACTGCCACTGACATTCCCAGTGACACTAATAAAAAGCACTGACACTGTACTAATGGCACTGGGCTGGAAGGGGTTAACATCTGGGGCGATCAAAGGGTTAACAGTGTGCTGTGTGTGTTTTTTTACTTTGGAGACATGCTGTTTTATACCTCTCTGCTGTGCAGAGATACAAAATACCATGTCCATGCTGACAGGAAAGAGATCTTTGTTGTTTACACACAGGTTTCTCTCCTGTCAGCTTTCCCCACCGATCACCGAATGCCGGGCCGGGACTCGGTGATTGACATCTCTAGCCGCCAATGGCAGCTATATACGTGATTTTGCGCAGTCCTTCCACCCTGTAGAAGTATTTCTGCTATATGGCGGTGGGCAAGCAGTTAAAACACTATTAAACCCAAGAGCAAATATTTATTATATTGCAGCTTAGCAATTCTTAGATGTGATGGCTGCATTTGTTTCCTTTTTTAGGCTCTCCTATTTTCCAGAAAATCAGCCAGTAAACCTGTTGTTTTTCAGAAGCTTGTGTTTTCCAACAGAATGTTTCAGTTACAGGGATGAAACATTCTATTTACCACTGACAGGGGTGATGAAAATGATCAGCTTTTATTTATTCATGTGAAACTTATCTTAAAAGGAAAATAACTGCTGTAACTGATCATAAATTGTTAGCAGGTATTTGGCTTCAATATTTTATTGCATTCAAATTTGCTAATACATTTAACACTCCAATCCACCCAGACTGACAATATTTCTGTCTGCTGTGTCCTGTGATCATTCCTCCACCGTGGTGTCTTACTAATACAGAAGGTGTGTTACCGGCCAGATAACCAGGGGAAAACAGAGGGAATAAAAGACAAAGGCAAAAAAAACTGATGCAGTCAGCACATCTAATGATTGGTAACTGTGATATTTTACATTTCTGGCTTTGGGTTAATACCGCTTTAATTTCACTTTGTGGTCCTGCCAGTAACACACTTCCTGTCATTGACTCCTACTACTCTACCTCCCTGAACAAAAACCACTTCTCTCCCTGCTAACATTGCTTGAGATACAGCCTGAGGGGATGACAGATTCTCTGCTGCTGCAGCTATCTCCTCCTCAGCCTGCTGTCAGTAAGGGGTCATGTTACATGGTATAGTCAGTCACATGTTAGATTACACATTACAGTCAAATTACATTTTACACACTGCAGTCAGGTGTCAGTTTACACTGCAGTCAGGTGTCAGTTTACACTGCAGTCAGGTGTCAGTTTCCGCAGTGCAGTCAGGTGTCAGTTTCCGTAGTGCAGTCAGGTGTCAGTTCACACAGTAAAGTCGTCAGTTTCCACAGTGCAGTCAGGTGTCAGTTTACGCAGTGCAGTCAGGTGTCAGTTTACGCAGTGCAGTCAGGTGTCAGTTTACGCAGTGCAGTCAGGTGTCAGTTTACGCAGTGCAGTCAGGTGTCAGTTTACACAGTGCAGTCAGGTGTCAGTTTACACAGAGCAGTCAGGTGTCAGTTTTTCGCAGTACAGTCAAGTTTCGGTTTCCATCCTACAGTCGGGTAAGGCTGCACAATGCAGTCATGTGTCAAGTTACATAGTACAATCAGGGGTAAGGTTACACAGTATAGTCAAGGGTCAGGTTACACAGTGCAATCAGGGGTCAGGTTACACAGTATAGTCAAGGGTCAGGTTACACAGTTCAATCAGGGGTCAGGTTACACAGTATAGTCAAGGGTCAGGTTACACAGTGCAATCAGGGGTCAGGTTACACAGTATAGTCAAGGGTCAGGTTACACAGTGCAATCAGGGGTCAGGTTACACGGTATAGTCAAGGGTCAGGTTACACAGTTCAATCAGGGGTCAGGTTACACGGTATAGTCCAAGGGTCAGGTTACACAGTGCAATCAGGGGTCAGGTTACACGGTATAGTCCAAGGGTCAGGTTACACAGTACAATCAGGGGTCAGGTTACACGGTATAGTCCAAGGGTCAGGTTACACAGTACAATCAGGGGTCAGGTTACACAGTATAGTCGGGGGTCAGGTTACACAGTACAATCAGGGGTCAGGTTACACAGTATAGTCAAAGGTCAGGTTACACAGTACAGTCGGGGGTCGGGTAACACAGTACACACTCAGGGGTCTGGTTATATTGCACAGGTAGGGGCTGGGTTATACAGTACAGTAAGGTGTCAAGGTGCACAGTTCAGTAAAGGGGTCTGGTTATACAGTACAATCAGGGTCAGGTTACACAGTACAGTCCGGGGACAGGACACGCACTACAGTTAGGGGTCAGGTTGTCCAGTACAGTCAGTGGTCAGATTACATCATACAGTCAGGGGTCACGTTATGCAGTCATGCATGAGGTTACCCATTACGGTCAGGAGTCAGTGCAGTCAGGGGTACGTTTACACTATACAGTCAGGGATCAAGTTACACAGTACAGTAATGGGTCAGGTTACATGGTACAGTCAGGTGTTAGGTTACAAAGTATAATCGAGGTCAGGTCACATAGTATACTCAGGGGTCAGGTTACACAATGAAGTCAGATGTCAGGTTACACCGTATGGTCATGAGTCGGGTTACACAGAACAGTCAGGTGACAGGTTACATGGTATAGTTAGGGTTTAGGTTATACAGTCAGGTTACATAGTACAGTCAGTCACGTAGTAGAGTACAGTTGTCTGGCTGAAAAAGGACAAAAGTCCATCCAGTTCAACCATTAAAAAAAAAAAAAAAAAAGTTACAATCCTACACTCACAGTTGATCCAGAGGAAAGCAAAAAAAAACCCAGCAAAGCATGATCCAATTTGCTTCTGCAGGGGAAAAAATTTCTTCCTGATCCCCGGAGAGGCAATCGGATATTCCCTGGATAAGCTTTACCTATAAATGTTAGTATCCAGTTATATTCTGTGTATCTAGGAAAGAATCCAGACCTTTTTTAAAGCAATCCACTGAGCTGGCCAGAACCAACTCTTGAGGGAGTCTATTCCACATTTTCACAACTCTCACTGTGAAGAAAATTTTCTGTATTTGGAGATCAAATTTCTTTTCCTCCAGCCATAAAGAGTGCCCCCTTGTCCTCTGTGATGACCTCAGGGTGAATAACTCTACACGGAGTTCACTATATTAGATTAGGGGGGATATGATCAACATGTATAAATACATCAGTGGATGTATTTATACATGTTGATCATATCCCTTCTTAATCTCTTCTCAAGAGAGAATCAATTCAGTTCCTCTAATCTTTCCTCATAGCTGAGCTCCTCCATGCCTCTTATCAGTTTGGTTGCCCTTCTCTGTACTTTCTCCAGTTCCCTGATGTTCTTTTTGTGAATTGGTGCCTAAAATTAAACTGCATATTCCAGATGAGGAATTACTAATGATTTGTACCAGGATAATATGATATCTCTCTCTCTGGAGTCTATACCTCTTTTAATACAAGAGAGGATTTTGCTCGCTTTAGAAACCGCAGCTTGGCATTGGATGCCATTATTAAGTTTGTGATCTACCAGAACTCCCAGACCCTTCTCCACCATTGATTCCCCCAGTTGTACTCCCCCAGTATGTATGATGCATGCATATTCTTAGCCCCCAAGTGCATAACCTTACATTTATCAACATTAAACCTCATTTGCCACATAGTTGCCCAATTAAACAGTGCATTGAGGTCGGCTTGAAAATTGGAGACATCCTGTAAGGACATTATTCCACTGCACAGCTTGGTGTCATCTGCCAAGACTGAAATGTGATTTGTAATCCCAGACCCTTTATTGTTTATAAATATGTTAAAAAGTAAGGGTCCCAACACTGAACCCTGGGGTACACCACTGACAACCCTAGACCACCCGAGTATGAACCATTAACCACTACTCTCTGAATATGATCTTTTAGCCAGTTTTCTATCCATTTACATACAGAATATTCCAATCTTGTAGACTTTACCTTACACATTAGCCGTGTGTGGGGAACTGTGTCAAACGCTTTTGCAAAATCCAAGTATATCCCATCCACCACCAACCCTCTGTCCAAGTATACCATGTCCACCGGCACCCCCACCCCTCTGTCCAAGTATACCATGTCCACCGCCACCCCTCTGTCCAAGTATACCATGTTCACCGCCTCCCCTCTGTCCATGTATACTACGTCCACCGCCACCCCTCTGACCAAGTATACCACCGCCACCCATCTGCCCATGTCCACCATGTCCACCACCACCCCTCTGTCCAAGGTTTTGCTCACCTTCTCATGAAAAGAAATCAAATTAATTTCAATCCATGCTGTCTGTTGCCTAAAATATTTTTTTCCAGCAAGAACTCATCTATGTGGTCTTTTATTAAACTCTCCTGTATCTTCCCAACTATAGAAGTTAAACTAACAGGTCTATAATTACTTGGTAAAGATTTTGACCCCATTTTAAATATAGGCACCACATTGGCTTTACACCAATCCAGTGATACTATGCCAGTCATTAACCTCCTTAGCGGTTATCCCGAGTGTAGCTCGGGGTAAAATTTCAATACCAAGAGCGGTAACCCCGAGCTACACTCGGGCTTACCATGCGGCGTTGCTCTGGGGGTCCCTTCAGCACTTACCTTGTCCTTCGCTCCCGTGATGTGTCCCCTGCAGCGTCCCCGGCCATCTCCTCCGGCCGATGCTGGCATCAGGCTTCCGTGTTCCGGTCCCTGTGACGGGCGGGAAATTTGAAATTTTTAAAAAATGTAATTTTTGCTGTCATTGCTGTTTCAATGCATTTCACATACATTTTGTCCCGAGTGCTTTGTCCGGCGCCCTGCCTGCATTTTGAATGTTCTTTCTGCCTGGAAACTGAGAAACGTCCATGGCGTCCAAAAAGCGTCCCTTTAGGTCAAAAGCGGTTTTAGAACAGCTAGAGAACAGCGATAGTAAATTAGAACCACTTGCAGAATTGAGTGATAATGATTCGTGGGGGAAATTCCTCATCAGACACTGAAACGATTTTGCGACTTTGCTCAGCGATGTGCGAATTTGCCTCTGTATTTCAAATTTCAGTGTTTTTGGTTTGACTTTATTATTGAATTAAATTTTTTATTATTATTATATTATTATTTTTTATGATTATTTATTAAAATATAATTTATGATTTCGTGTTTCAAGTTTTATCATACCCGGGATGTTTACTAGACTCTTGTTTGGTCAGATTTCAGCGAGTTATTCCTAAAAATTACAGCCTACAATAAAAAACTACATATTTCCATGCAAAAAAATGGTACTGCTTTCAGCACAAAAATCGGAAAGAATCAGACCGCCGAGGAGGTTAAAGAGTCCCTAAAAATTAGAAACAATGGCTTTAAAATGACAAAGTTCAATTCTTTAAGGACCTGTGGGTATATGCTATCCAGTCCAGGTGCTTTATTCACCTTAATTCTGTCTAAATATTTTTGGAACATATCAATTGTGAGCCAATGTGGATCATCTGGAGCTGTGTCAATACCATGCCCATTATGGACAAGAGCTCCCCCAGCTCCCCCAGAGCTGAAGAAGGTATTTAATATTTTGCCGTCTCTTTGTCCCCAGTCACCCACTCTAGATTATTTTGTAAAGGGCCTACATGCTCAGACTGGACCTTTTTACTATGAATATATTTTAAGAATTTTGGGGGGTTTGTCCTGCTATCTTTTGCAATCTGTCGTTTGTTTTAAATTTTTGCAGCCTTTTTTTCCTTTTTGCATATTCTGTTATATTTTTTGTAATGTTTAAATGATGATAGCGTTGAGATTACCAGGTCCAGCAGAGCATCATTCCTAGTAGGGGCCTCTATAAACCATAAAATTGTCCTGTAGTAGGTTAAAAAATGTTTTGCCCTTTAACTGTTCCTGCAGTACTATTACTTCATTCAATTTCTAGGAAGTAAAAATCCCCCATTATTATCACTGTCCCAGCCCTTGCATCCTTTTCGATCTGTTCGATCAGGGCAAGGAGCTGAGTCTCCACCTCCTCATTAACACTGGAAGGCCTAGAACAAACTCCAATGATCACCTTTGTAGTACGACCCCCATGTGCAGTTCCACCCATAATGCTTCAGCCTCATCACACTCTCCATCAACTAGATCCTCTTTCACACTCGCTCTGAAATCACTTCTCACATAGAGACATACACCACCACCTTTCATTTATACAATGTCGCTCTGAAAGAGAACCTAGCCAGGGATATAAATGGCCCAGTCATGAAGAATGAAGCCAAGATTCTGCAATACTATTTAAATCATGGTTCTCTTTTTGCACCAAAGCTTCCAACTCACCTATTTTGCTTGGCAGACTTCTGGCATTGGTGAACAAACCCTTTAATCCATTGACACCTTATGCACACGTATTTTGCATATTTTTGCATAGGTTACACATTAAAGCAAATATCAGGTTACACAGTACAGTCAGGTTACAGGGTGTAGTCAGGTTACACAGTGCAGTCAGGTTACAGGGTGTAGTCAGGTTACACAGTACAGTCAGGTTACAGGGTGTAGTCAGGTTACACAGTGCAGTCAGGTGTCAGATTACACAGTGCAGTCAGGTATCGGGTCACGCGGTAGTCAGAAGTTAGGTTACACAGTACAGTTAGAGGTCAGGATACACAGTTTAGTACCCGGGTGAGGTTACACAGTACAGTCAGGTGTCAGGCTGCACAGTACAGTCAGGGGTTTGGTTACAGAATACAGTCAGGGGTCAGGTTATACAGTCACATGTCAGGTTACACAGTAGAGCCAGGTGTCAAGTTACACAGTACAGTAAGGAGTCAGGTTACACAGTACAGTCAGGTGTCGGGTTACACAGTATACTTAGGGGTCAAGTTGTGATGGATTTGATAAAATGCCTATTTTGTTTCCTATTGAATATATATATATATATATATACGCTATTTCTATACGTTTTATAAATATTTACTTTTATACTTTAATACATATGTTGTGTGAATATTTTCTGCCTGCTGGGCTTTGTGGTACTATAAGAAATCCTTGCTTAAGAAATGTCTGCTCACACACACAGACCCCCTCCCACCGTGCCAACTTGTAACAAAGGAATGTTGTTTTCCTATGAGATAAGGCCTGGAAGAAGATCACACCTATACCATGACGGAGATTGTTTTCGTGTGGAAATGACCAATCAAAGACTAATATAATGCTTATGCTGTTGTCACATGACTCTTGCATCATTCTGCATATATAAGTTCACTTTCTCATTATAATAAACTAGAAGTATTCATAGACTGAACTTGTGTCCTCAGCGTGAGTCCCTTCCAATGTGCGCACATTTCAAATCCTGCTAGCGTCATAAATTAGGACAGGAACAGATAAGCAGTGGACGATTTGAGTCCGTGACTAAAACAAAGTTACAAAGTACTAGTAAGGGGTTAGGTTACACAGTACAATTGGGGTCAGGTCACATAGTATAGTCAGGGGTCAGGTTACACAATCCAGTCAGGGGTGAGGTTACACGGTACAGTCAGTCCACAAGACCTGGTGTCAAGTTACACAGTCCAGTCAGGGGTCAGGTTACACGGTACAGTCGGGTCAGGTTACACGGTACAGTCAGGGGTAAGGTTACACGGTACAGTCAGGGGTCAGGTTACACCCATCCAGTCAGGTGTCAAGTTACACAGTACAGTCAGGGGTCAGGTTACATGGTACAGTCAGGGGTCAGGTTACTGGTACAGTCAGGGGTCAGGTTACACAATCCAGTCAGGTGTCAAGTTGACACAGTACAGTCAGGGGTCAGGTTCATGTTTTACAGTCATTGGGTTCAGGTTACATGGTACAGTCAGGGGTCAGGTTACACGGTACAGTCAGGTATCAAGTTACTGGTAGAGTCAGAGTTTAGAAGTTTCATACAGTCAATGGCCAGGTAGCATAGTACAGTCCTGTGTGTAGGTTACACATTACAGTCAAATATCAGGTTACAGAAAAGCAGTACAGTCAGGTTACATAGTATAGTCAGCCACATGTCTCATTACACATTACAATCAGAAGTCAGGTTACACAACACAGTCAGGTGTCAAATTACACAGTACAGTCAGGGGTCAGGATGCACAGTACAGTCACGTGTCGGGTTACACAGTGCACTTAGGGGTCAAGTTACACAGTTTAATCAGGGGTGAGCTTACAGAGTCAGCTTAGACAGTACAGTCGGGGGTCAGATTACATGGTATAATCAGGGGTCATTTCACAGAGCCTGCCTTCTGAACTACAAAGTTCTGTAAGGGGTCAGTTTTCAGGAAGCAGATTCAGTACAGTCAATCCCTGCTTGCAGCCAGCATGGTACCATGGGATCTGCAGTCCAGTTAGAGGTTACACTGAAAGTAAACAGGGGTCAGGTTACACGGAGAGGCAAAGCATCAAGTTACTGGGTAATCCAGGAAGTTGTAGAACAGAGATGCCCAGCAGCACCAGCAGTGGTCAGGTTACACATTACAGTCAAATTCAGGTTACAGTGCAGTCAGGTTACATAGTATAGTCAGCCACATGTCTCATTACACATTACAATCAGAAGTCATCTTACACTCTCAGAAGGTTAGAGTGTGTCAAATTACACAGTACAGTCAGGGGTCAGGTTGCACAGTACAGTCACGTGTCGGGTTACACAGTGCACTTAGGGGTCAAGTTACACAGTTTAATCAGGGGTGAGCTTACAGAGTCAGCTTAGACAGTACAGTCGGGGGTCAGATTACATGGTATAATCAGGGGTCATTTCACAGAGCCTGCCTTCTGAACTACAAAGGTTCTGTAAGGGGGTTTTTCAGGAAGCAGATTCAGTACAGGAATCCCTGCTTGCAGCCAGCATGGTACCATGGGATCTGCAGTCCTTAGAAACTGAAAGTAAACAGCAGAGGAGAGGCAAAGCATGCTGGGAATCCAGGAAGTTGTAGAAGAGATGCCCAGCAGACCAGCAGCACTCACAATATGAAAGGAGATTTTTCATGCAAGGTTATATAGAATTGTCAAAAATAACTATTGTTTGTATTGTAATTATAATGCTGATCTTCACTCTCAGAAAGGTCTGGAGTGTGTTAGGGTCCTTTCACACGGGCGGTTCGTATGTCCGTTTACAGATGAAAAATGGACACCCATGTATTTCTATGGACTAGCAGATGTAGACGGATGATCATCTGTTTACAGCCGTTAATGTTTGCATTCATTAACATTCTTTTTTTTTTTGAACGTAAGAAAACCCTATTTTTCTTCCGTGAAAAAAATGGAACGGACAAAAAATGGATGTAAACAGACATACGGTCCGTTTTTGCATTGGTGAAGGATGTAA